GCTGCGTTAACTGGAATAGCAAAAACACATGCAACTTTAACTGCTTTTGCATCAGCAGCTAGAACTGCAACTGCACATGAATCTGCAACTGCAATTGCATCTAACACTGAACATGAACCTATACCTGCACTTGTTACCGAAACTGCTACTACAACTGCACATACAACTGCAACTGCAACTGCAACTATAACTGCGCATTCACTCAATATGGCACATGACACAGCAACTGTAACGGCAAGAGCGCCTGCAACTGCAATTGATCCTAACCTGCAACTGCACAGGGAACTGCAAATATATCTGCATTTGCAACTGCACACACATTAGCAGTTGCACATGCATCGACAACTGCTACTGCAACTGATACTGCTACTGAACCTACATGTTCACCTGAGACTGTTAATGCAACAGCTATTGCAACTAACACGGCACATTCACCTGCTACTGCACATGCACCTTCACTAGCACATGCATCTGATAGTGCAACTGCAAACGCATATGCAACTGCGACTGCTACTGTACTTACAACTGCAAAGTTAATTGCAGCAGAATATGCACAGTCATGTGTTAATTTAACTGCAGCAGGAACTGCACATGCACCAGCGAAAAACCTGGCAATGGCAAATGCTGCTTTAACGGCACAAGGCAAACCACCATGCACAAACAACTGCAAGTTCCTCCTTAACTGCTACTGCAAATGCACAATTAACTGCACATGCAAAGGCAACTGCAACGGCAACTATCCATGCAACTGCAACTTTATAAGCAACTATTGATGCAACAACAATTGCAACTGCCACTGCAGATGCAACTGCAATTGCACACGCCAATGCATTTACAAATGCACATGCACCTGCGATTGCACATTCTACCGCAACAGCAAATACTACTGCACATAAAACTGCAACTGCACATAAAACAGCAACTGCAACGACAACAGCAAATGCAATAAAAATTAACCCGGCAACAGCATATGTAACAGCAACTCCAACTGCACATGCGAATGACACAGCAACTGTACATGCCAATTAATCTGCAAATGCAAATACAACTGACACTGAAAAAGACACTAAAACTGCATATGCAACTGTTATTTTGTATGGTAATAAATCTTTTACTGCAAATTAAACTGAAAATGCAACTGCAACTGCACATGCTACTGCAACTGCTGTTGCAGCTGCAAATTTATATACAACTAAAAATTCACCCTTAACTGCAACTTCAAATGAATCTGCTACTTCAACTGAACATGCAACTTAATTTTTATCTGCAACGCAAACTGCAAATGCAAATACTGCTTCACATGCAGCAGCAACTGCAACAGGAACTGCACATGAAACTGCAAATGCAACTGCAAATGCCACTGCTACTAAAACTATTTATGAACATGCAACAGCAAATGCACCAGCAATAGTTATTGCAAATGTTACTACGACACCAAAGACAACTGCACTATACATGCAACTGTAAATGCACGATCAAATGCTATTGCAAATGCTACTTTAACTACACAAGCAACTGCATTGCACACGCAACAAAAATTGCAAATTCCACTGGAACTGCAAATGCAACTGCAACTGCACATGCAACTGCAACTGCACATGCAACTGCAACTGTAACTAAAAATGCAAATGCAAATACAACAACATATTTTTATGCAACTGCAAATGCACTAGCAACTGTTACTGCAACAGGAACTGCTATTGCAAATGCATCTACATATACAAATAAAAATGCATTTAAAACTGAAACTGAAACTGTACATGCAACTGCAGCTAAACCAGCTTATAAAACTGGACTTATTACTTTTTATTCGTAAGAATAAGCTTCAAAGTTTGAAAGCAAACGTTTCATGACTTCTGTTCAATAGCACTTTTTTAGAAATCTAATAGTTTCCACAAAGCATCAATCCAGAAAGAAGCAAAAATTTCTTTTAAATATATTAAAAATTTTCAGGGACGGTGAAAATTGTGCTAATAGAAACTAAACAGATTTGATATCAGATTAACTATAATTGATTCTCGTCGAAAAAGAAATTAATTTTAAACGTAAAGTGCAGCAAAATAGTTGTATTAAAATGATTTTTTCTCTTTCTTGGACTGCAGAGGTCGGAATATAATTGATATCAGCTCAATTTTTTCGGACCTAATTCTTTTTATTCGTAAGTATACATTACAAAGCGTAAAAGTAAAAAATTCATTGCTTTTGTTAAATAGCACTTCTTAAGAAATTTGATATTTTTTAAATAAGATTTATTCAAGAAAGCAGCGAAAATTTCTTATAAACATATTAAAAATTTTTAGAGACGGTGAAAAATGAGGTATTAAAAACTAAACAGACTGGATGTCAGGGTAACTACAATCGATTTTCGTCGAAAAGGAACAAAATTCTAAAAAAAAGTAAACCCAAATAGTTGTAATAGATTTATTTCTTCTCTTTTCTAGACTGCCGTGTTTGGAGTTTCAATGTATCAGCTGAATTTTTTAGGCCTAAAAATTTTTATTCGTAAGTATACGCTTTGAAAATTGAAAACAAACGTTTATTAACTACTGTTAAAAGCTACTTCTTTAGAAATCTCATAGTTTCCAACAAGAAATTATTCCGGAAAACAGCAAAAATATCTTTTAAAAATTTTAAAAAATTTTAAGAGACGTTGAAAAATGTGCTATTAGAAACTAAACAGATTAGATGTCAGATTAACTACATTCGATTTTCGTCGAAGAAGAATAGAATTCTACACGTAAAGTAAACAAAAATAGTTGTAATAGAATAATATTTTTTCTTTCTTTTACAGACATGGACGGACTATCAATGATATCAGCTTAATTTTTTTTGGCCAAAAAATTTATATCCGTAAGTATACGTTTTAAATCTCAAAAGCAAACGTTTAATAGCCACTGTTAGAAATCTAATAGTTTTCAACAAGAAAATATTCCGAAAAGCAGCAAAGATATCTTTTGAATATTTTGAGAAATTTTAGAAGACTTTGAAAATTGTTCTACTAAAAACTAAACAGATTGGATGTGAGGATAACTACAATCGATTTTCGTCGAAAAAAAATGAATTTTACACGTAAAGTAAACCGAAATAGTTTTAAAACATAATTTTTTTTACTTTCTAGGACTGCAGTAGTTAAAAAATCAATGATATCAGATCAATTTTTTCGGATCAAATATTTAAATTTCTAATTATACTCTTTAAAACTTGAAAGCAAACGTTTTATAACTTCTGTTTAAGAGCACTTTTTTAAAAATCTGAAAGTTTCTGACAAAGATACAATCCGGAAACCTGCGGAAAAATCTTGTAAATATATTGACAAATTTTCACAACTGGTGAAAAATGTGCTATTAGAAACTAAACAGAATAGATGTGGGATAACTACAATCGATTTTTGTTGATAAAGTATGAATTCTACACGTATAGTAAAGTAAAAAAGTTGAATGAAAATGATTTTTTCTCTTTCTTGAACTCCAGTTGTTGAAAAATCAATGATATCAGCATAAATTTTTTGACTTTAGATTTTTATTTGTGAGTATACTTTTCAAAGCTTGTAAGCAAACGATTTATAGCTTCTGTTAATTAGCACTTCTTTAGAAATCTGATAGATTCTAACAAAGATACAATCCAAAGCGCAGCAAAAATTTCTTTTAAATATATTGACAAGATTTCAGAGACAGTGACAAGTGTGATATTAGAAACTAAACAAAAAGGATGTCAGGATAGCTACAATCAATTTTCGTCGAAAAAGAATCAATGCTACACGTAAAGTAATCCGAAATAGTCGTAATAAAATGATTTTTTCTCTTTCTTGGACTGCTGTGGTCGAAAAAACCAAGGATATTTTTTCATGCTTAAAATTTATATTTGTAATTATACTCTTTAAAGCTTGAAAGCAAACGTTTTATAACTTCTGTTAAATAGAACTTCTTTACAAATCTGATATTATAGCTTTTAACTAAGATTTTATCCGGAAAGAAGCGAAAATTCTTTTTATATATTTTTAAAAATTTTCAGAGACGGTGAAAAATATACTATTAGAAACAAAACGGATTGGATGTCTAAATTACTACAATCGATTTTTAGCGAAAAAGAATTAAATTTTACACATTCTTCGTTCAATCGTTAGTAAATACGGACGTGTTTATCTAATCGCTCCCGATAATATAAGTATTTAAATAATAAGTAAGTTGAGATACGTTATAAAGTACGTTAGTCGACATCGCAGTTAAAAGGGTGAGTAACCAGTGTACAAGCGAGGTAACATTACMCCCACGCGGGTAACCGCGTGGACAAGCCTATGGCAAAAAGCTAGTTAACATGGAAAGAAATAACATCAAACCTCTGAGATTTGTTAACAACGGAAATAGCTTTATCATTCAAAATACCGAAATAGGCCAACCGTCAACAGAAAAAAAACAAACAGCTAACCTTGGTCGTACTGAAAGGAGAATAATCAAAATAAATGATAGAAACTCGCGAATAGAAAGCGAAATGGATACTGATTCGGAAGATTCTCAAAACTGGTTACCAGCAAAATCAACCAAGCTACAAAACTCAAAAAAACGCAAAATAAGTGAGCAAAAAAGCAACAATAACAACTTCTCAACACCATTACCTGCAAAATGGCTCCATAACATTCCCATAAGCAACTCTTATGATATACTTGACGAATCAACAGTAACACAAAACACTACAGGAAAAGCAGTAGAAGAAAAAAAAGCAGTTAAGTCTCCAACCCTGACGCAGAAATCATCGACCCTCTGCTCGAGTTACTGGATGAAACAATTGGTAAAAACAACTACGTAATAAAACAACTTAAAGACAACCAAGTGAAAGTACAAACCACCACACCAGATACGTTCAGAAAGGTAGTTAATGCATTAAAAACTAAAAACGCGGGATATAACACGTATCAAGAAAAAAATGAGAAGAGCTATAAGATAGTTATTAGAGGACTTCATCCCAAATCCAACACAGTTAAAATAACAAATGAACTAAACGAAATGGGACATAAGGTAAGATCAATAACTAATATGATAAAATTCGATACCAAACAGCCGCTACCATTATTTCTTATTGAACTGGCTCCTCAAGATAACAACAAAAGTATATATGAGATTAAAACACTGCTTAGTACAATAGTTAAAGTTGAACCACCAAGAACTAAAACAGAAATACCTCAATGCATAAGATGTAAAGCCTACGGGCACACTAAAAATTACTGTAACAGAGATCCTGCATGTGTAAAATGTGCAAAAAACCATTTAACAGCGCTCTGTCCTCATGAGGGCAAAATAGAAAAAGTCATATGTGTAAACTGCAATGGTAACCACCCAGCAAACTACAAAGGATGTCAAACAAGAAAATTACTACAACAAAAA